GGGGGCAAAGGGGTCAGGAGAGAGGGAATCTTTTTTTTTTTTTAATTTATTTTCAGCGTAACAGTATTCATTGTTTTTGCACCACACCCAGTGCTCCATGCAATCCGTGCCCTCTCCAATATCCACCACCTGGTTCCCCCAACCTCCCACCCCCCACCCCTTCAAAACCCTGATTGTTTTTCAGAGTCCATAGTCTCTCATGGTTCACCTCCCCTTCCAATTTCCCTCAACTCCCTTCTCCTCTCTAACTCCCCTTGTCCTCCATGCTATTTGTTATGCTCCACAAATAAGTGAAACCATATGATAATTGACTCTCTCTGCTTGACTTATTTCACTCAGCATAAAGGAGAGAGGGAATCTTAAGCAGATTTCATGTCCATCGCAGAGCCCCTTGCTGGGCTCGATCTCACAACCCTGAGATCATGACCAGAGCCAAAATCAAGAGTTGGATGCTTAACCACTGAGACCCAGGTGCTCCAGGAGCCTGGGTTCTAATACGGTAGGTCGAAGGTGCTAATGAGATATCCAAGAGGAAATGTTGAGTAGGCAGTTGAATATATGAGTTCAGTAGCTGAAAAAGGAGGTTGTGGCTGGAAATACAACTTTCAACAATATTTAAAATTGTGAGATAAAAGATCATTTCCACTACGGGCTTTTAAAAGTTTTTGTGGCATAAACCCCTTTGAAAGTCTGTTAAAAACTTGAGGCTCCTTCCCTGAGTGATATTTTAAATGCATAAAATAAAATATCTTTGAAATATTTTGGTATATATAATTGGTATAAAGAAAACCAATTATAATGAAACATAGAATCACAATATTTTGAAAGTTATACTATGGCAACATATTTTTTATTAATATACTACCCAATAAGAACTAACAGTAAGCATACTAACTACAGTACTTTAAAGAAGTCATGTGCATAAATATTTCAAGACATCTGTAACAACTGTAATGAGATGAAAATATCTAATTTTTTACTAGAGATAAAGTCATAGATACAGTGAATATTATTGTTCATAATTGAAGGAAATGCAAAGTTTCATTTAGAGGTTAGTGAAAATAAAGAAGAAATGTTTCCCTTTCAAGGTCACTGACACCAGGTCTATGGACTCCAGGTTAAGAATCTCTGTGTGGGGGCAAATACAGCCAGAGAAGTGGGGGACCAAGGAGGATAACCCGGGACTCTCCAACATGAAGTGGCAGGAAGAAAAGGAGAACTGATAAAGAAAATGGGGAAAAGAAAACCAAGTGGAAGAAGGACCCAGTGATCAACTATAAGAAGTGCTGCTGGGAGCGCCTGGGGGGCTCAGTCCAGTAAGCCTTTGGCTCAGGTCATGATCCTAGGGTCCTGGGATGGAGTCCTGCATCCAGCTCCCTACTCAGTGGGAAGCCTGCTTCTCCCTCTGCCCCTGCCCCCGGCTTTGCTCGTACTTTGCTCGTACTCCCTCTTGCTATCTCTTTCTCTCTCTCAAATAATTAAAAAAAAAAAAAAAAAGTGCAGCTGATGGTTGAGTAAGATGAGAGATGAGGACTCAGGACCTTGAGAAGAGCAGTTCCTGTTCAGGGGTGGGGACAAAAGCCTGACTACTGGGACCTCAGGCATGAATGAGAGAAGGTGATGTTCAACAACTGGGCTAAAATAGTTTTGCCATAACATGATTTTTTTAAACTTTGAACTTGTAAGCAAAGGAAAGGGTCAAGGGAGGACTTTTGTTATTGTCATTGTTGTGTTTATGATGGGAGATATTACATGCGTTTACAGGCTGTGGACGAGATTCAGGAGATAGGGACAATTGATAACACAAGAGAAAAAGTGACAATTCCCAGTTTATTGTCCTTGAACAGTGAGAGGTGACGATGAGAGGGATGGAATCCAGTGCCCAGGTGAAAGGGCTGTCCTCAGAGGGAGCCTGAATCCTTCATGCTTAAGTTAAAAGGAGGGAAAAACAATTAGTTATATGGGTCTTGATAGAATCAAGTTTGAAGAAATGATGGCGGAAGAATGTGGAAATGCTCTTGTCGCCTCCATTTCCTCAGTGAAATAACAAATGGAACCACTGACTGAGAGTGAGTGAAGAGGGGTATGGAGAGAAGGGGAGAAATAATGATCCAGTCCTGCAGGTGAGTGAACAGGCCAGAGAAACAGTCAGACATGTTGGGTCCACAGGGTGGTGGTCATGAATTAAAGTAAAGCCAGTTGGGGTCTGGCTGCTCAGGTGTGGGCATGGCTGGCAGACAATTTAGTCTCAACCAGAGTTAATACCAATATATTCATCACAAAAAGGTCCTAAACAAAAGATGAGGAGACACACCGGCTTCAGTGTACTTTTATGCCTGTAGTTTTTTTAATTATAAGCAATTCAAACACTGGAAACTCACTGGTACAGTGGGAGCCCTGAAGGTCAAGTGTTTGGAACTGGGCCAGGTCAGGGGAAACTGTGCATCTAGGGCTCCTGGGGCTGACGCTGCCAAGGGTGGGTGTGACCAGAGAAGTTTCATTTCTAATGCGGAGATGCCTGGGCCCAAAGGCCTGGTGCCCACCCAGTACCCTACACAAGACAACGCATTCCAGCAGGAACAAACACCATACCGTATCCATTTACATGATGGTGAAAATGCCCAGACAATTACTTAAGTCTCAATCACCCTATTTTTATTAACAGATTAAATCAGTATGAAAACTAAAAAGACACTGTATAAACCAAGGACCTTGTTCCTGTTTAAATATCCTTAATCGTATTCTTGCATTTGGCAAACAGCCTCCAAGTATGTGCTCCCTTTCCATAACAATTCTTTTATTTACATGTCTGTTTCCATGTTGTTTTAGAATTCCAGCTCCTTGATAAGGAGTTATGTTTGCATTACATTTAGGCACACCCAGTGTTTCCTAGAGCATTCTTCATCTAGAGTACATTAATCACTAGTATTTCCAATATTATAAAAGGTAAATTGAATTTCTAAATGAAATACCTTTCTCGCAGTCACTGAGTTATATTTTGTTAATTAACAGTTCTAATACACTCATAAAACAGCTACTTTATCCACCGGGGCAAGTATTAAGCCACATTTACCATTGGAACAATGAAAGGAATAGTTTGTAATATATATTCAAATACAGGCTTTAATTAGTAATTGAAATAATGCAGATACTTCTATCACACGATACCTATCTAGAGTCACAAATGAAGGATAGAAAGGTTGGCCATTAAACTGGGAAGGAAGAAGGTACTGTTTAAGTACACCAGGAAAACAAAAGCCAATACAAATGTAAGTTTTAGATGTATACACACATATAAGTTACTATATGGCAAGAGAACCAAGGGCAAAAATGAACTATTGTACTTTACCAAGATCAAAAGCTTTGGTGCAGCAAAGGAAACAGTCAACAAAACCAAAAGACAACCGACAGAATGGGAGAAGGTATTTGCAAATGACATATCAGATAAAGGGTTAGTATCTGAAAATCTATAAATAACTTATCAAACTCAATACCCAAAGAATAAATAATCCAATCAAGAAATGGGCAGAGAACATGAACAGATGTTTCTGCAAAGAAGACATCCAGATGGCCAACAGACACATGAAAAAGTTCTCAACATCACTCGGCATCAGGGAAATACAAATGAAAACCACAGTGAGATACCACCTCACACCAGTCAGAATGGCTGAAATTAACAAGTCAGGAAACAAGAGATGTTGGAGAGGATGTGAGAAAGGGGAACCCTCCTACACTGTTGATGGGAATGAAGACTGGTGAAGGCACTCTGGAAAACAATATGGAGGTTCCTCAAAAAGTTGAAAATGGAGCTACCCTATGAACCAGCAATTGTACTACTTTACCTTATTTTAGTATTTATTTACCCTAAAGATACAAATGTAGAGATCTGAAGGGGCACGTGCACCCAAATGTTTATAGCAGCAATGTCCACAATAGCCAAACTATGGAAAGAGCCTAGATGACCAGATGTGATATATATATAGAAGATGTGGTATATATATATATATATATGTGTGTATATATATATATATACACACATATATATATATTTACACAATGGAATGCTATGCAGCCATCAAAACCCCAAAATCTTATCATTTGCAACAATGTGGATGGAACTGGAGGGTATTATGCTAAGTAAAATAAGCCAATCAGAGAAAGACAATTACCATATAGTCTCATGGATATGAGGAATTTGAGAAACAAGGCAGAGGATCATAGGGGAAGGGAGGGAAAAATGAAACAAGATGAAGGCAGAGAGGGAGACAAACCATAAGAGACTCTTAATCTCAGGAAGCAAACTGAGGGTTGCTGGAAGGTAGGGGGTGGTAGGGATGGGGTGGCTGGGTGATGGACATTGGGGAGTTTATGTACTATGGTGAGTGCTGTGAATTGTGCAAGACTGATGAATCACAGACCTGTACCCCTGAAACAAATAATACACTATAAATTAATGAAAAAAAATTTTAAATTAAAAAAAAAAGATACTATATGTTGTCATGTGCATCCAAAATGAGAAACTAAAGAGATTGGAAAAGTCCTGACCAAAGGCAACAAAATTTCAACATGAAGCTGACTGTTAAAGGGCACTTGGATATTTGCTAAATTAATTTAAAACATATATAGTTTTCATATACTCTCCTTCAGACTCTTTGGGTTGAAAGGTACTTTGGGGACAGGTGGAAAACAATTGCATCCTGAAGCCTCGTTGATGAGATTAACGTTGATTTTCTAAGGGGCAAGAAATCCTGGTTATGGACCAGTATGTCCCAATGACCAGGAGATGCGGGCTGAAGTATTTAGAGCTGCAGAGTCTTACTATCTACAGCTTAACATTTCAAGGGGTTCGAGATTTAAAAAAAAAAAAAAAAAAAAGTGTGTGTGTGTGTAGAGAGAGAGAGATTGAGAAAGGAGACAGAAAATGTGCGAAGATGTTAATTACTGAATGTCCACGAATGCCATGAGGGTGTTCATTTTACTACTTCAGTTTCCCTACAGATTGGAAGATTTTCAGAATGATCAGTTTCCTACAACATTACGATGTACTCTATAGGAGACATACATAAAACATGCAGGTAATGATTTATACAGAATGAATAAAAATTTTTTTTCAAAAGAAAACAATATGAATTTCATAGAAACAGCTCAAGATAAAAGTGATTAAACGGTCCGATCATTTTATATGCATCGAGTGTACCATACAGTGACGCACAGCATTTCCACTGTCCCGGGGACACATACCGAGTAGCCTTTGCGCAGCCTCACCTTCCTCTAGTGGTGTGGTCTCTGAATCCATGATCTCGAATCTCAATTGAACCTTGGGTGTTGCTCAGAAGAAATCAATCACTGTCTTTCATCAGTCCCCAGTTTCTCCAGTTCTGCAAAAAGGGCATTTCCGACATTCACTACCCTCACATGTTCCATTACTCTCTTAGCAGACAAGCTTATTTCCAACTTCAAAAGAAAACAGAAATCTCAGTTGGGAAATTGCTCACCTGTGTGCTGCCAAACTAGAAAATCTGCACCTGCTGTGTGGTAGATGCTGCCATTTGGCTGGTCTAACTGCCATTCCCAAGTCCCATGTCCCTTGACTTCTCCCACCATGAGGATCAGAGAGCTTTCTCCGCGTACCACACGGTGCTGGCCAATCAGACAGAAGCAGAAGTCCATCTGCCGACTTCTGGCAACATTTCCTGATTAAGGAACAAAGTGTAGCCCACACCACCTCCTCCTCCTTTTCCTGCCTTGATCAGGGCACGAGGGGAAAAGGCCAAGATAGCTGCGGTGATGTCAACCCCTGAGTGCCGACATCATTGATACAGTGGCCATGCCAGCATTGCTTACCTTAAATTTGTCACATGAGAAAAAAAGAAACCTCTGCTTGAGTGAGGCACTACTAGTGGCCAGGTTTCTGTCATTCGAATTGAAAGCATTCCTAACTGACAAGGAGCTCATTTTTCTGCCGCCCCCCCCATCTTGTTCCTTCTTCCTAGAGGTCTCTGTGGACAGCATTCCCCCTCAATACCTTCAACCTTTCTCTCTCCACAAATTGTTCCACATCACTGGTGTTTAACACACTCAAGTCTATCCCACATTAAATACTAAAATGAAACTGTCCCCCACTCTCCCATCTTCCCCTAGCAACTGCTTTATCTTAGCCTTCCTTTCACTCAACATTCTTCTTAAAAGAGCTGTCTACACTCACTATCTCCCACTTCTTTCATAGTTATTCCTCAACTGGCCCCATCTGGATTCCCCCTGCTGCTTGATATTAAGTATTTGTGTCAAGGTCACCAACAACATCCTCACTGCAAACTCCAATGGGAATTTTTTCGGTTTTTATCTTATTTGACCCCCTTGTAACATTTGACACCATGACCATTCAATCCTTTAGGAAATACTTTCTTTCCTTGAATTTTTAAGTGTTCTGTCCTGGTTTTTATTGCCTGTCTGGCAGATCCCTGTAGGCCTATTTTAAAGGATCCTCCTTTGTAAATCTCCTGCATGTTGATATGAAATGAGAGAGATGGCTGCCTCCTCAGTCCTTCTCTCTGCGACAGCACGGTTGTCTTAAAAAGTCCCACAGAATCCCCTGAACCTGCTTCTTGCCCCCACAGTCCTCCTCTGTAAGTGGCACCACCATCCAACCAGGGTCCAAGCCAGAACGATCCTTCATGTTCCTCTCTCCCTTATTGCTCAAATCCAGTTAATCATTAAGCCCTGGAAATTCCGTCCCCTAAAGGTCCATGATGGGCCCATTCTGCTTAGTCCTGCTAATCTTATCCCAGGTTGGGCCTCTCCTGACATCCGTTTCCAAACACCTTTCACCCAGCTAACCCCTTCTCTCTGCTGCAGCTCAAGGGAACTTCTTTTAGTTGTTCCCAAACTGCCAACCTCTCTTTCACCTTTGGGATTTCCTGCGTGCTATCTCCTCTGGCCAGAATTTCTTCCCCCAAGGCTAAGTATTGCTGCTACTCGGAGTCTTTCGATTCTGTTGAAGAGGCCACTGTCTTGATATACGGAGACTAGGCTGGGTGCTCCTGCTGTGTTTCCACAATATTTTACACCCCTTGCCATCACTGTGTTTTCTTTTGTTCCAGGAGGACACATTAGATCTCTAGTGACACGTCTCCCCAAAAAGATTGCTCAATTAGATTGTAATGCCAGGATTTTCATTTTATCTACACCAAGACAGCAATTCCTTTTCAAACAGCATTGGCATTCATCAAAAACTGTGGATTAAATCCCTGGAATATTAAACATCCCCATTTAGTCTGAAGGGCCATTTACCCTACAGTGAAAAAGGGGCATAAATGCTGAAGCAATCATTTTGACAGTCACCAAAAATATTTTGGGATGGATATATCCTACATTTAAAAGCAAGGAGTGATCCTCTGTCATCCCTGACGTATATAAATTGTTTACTTTCTATTGCAATAAAAATTCCAAGAAGGAAATAAACAGAGAATATATGAACAACTAACTAAATCTATATGGATTGCCCATGATGAAGAGGGTGCCAAATGCTTTCAACAGCTTGGACATGACATCGAAGTATAAAATCTAATTAAACAAAATCTAATCGATTCAGTTAATTTAATCATCAGAGAAGCAGAGGCCAACAAGACCAAAACAATTTAAAAATAAGACCCTTATGCAACAGTATTACAAATAAATTCAGAATTAACAATGTGACATTATTGAAACATCCGGATTATTGCCAGGATTTACTGCAATTAGTTTTCTCTACTTAATATGCATGTGCTTCAGATTATAAAACCAAGAGGTTCATTTGTAAGATGAAGCAAAACAAAGACTGACAAACTACTCACACTTTTCCAATAATCTAACTGCCAACGGAATATAACTTAATATACAAAATTCAGTCCAGATAACTTTTAGAGTGACCTGTGAACTCCTTGATTCTAAGGAGAAAATAATTTTTTTTCTGTTACACAAGCTATGTTCAGAAAATATAAGACCAAACAACCATACCGTCATATTTATTGCTAAAAGCAAAATGTAGGGGCGCCTGGGTGGCTCAATTATTAAGCGTCTACCTTCAGCTCAGGTCATGATCCCAGGGTCCTGGGATCAAGCCCCACATCAGGCTCCCTGATCAGCAGGGAGCCTGCTTCTCCCTCTCACACTGCCCCCTGCTTGTGTTCCCTCTCTCACTGTCCCTCTCTTTGTCAAATAAAAACAAAATATATTTCAGTACAATAATGTAACCTTCCAAGAGAAAAGGCTGTCTATATGTATACCAACATAGACAACACCAAAGAAAAAAAGATAAAGGCCAAAAGTTCAAGAAAAAAATACCAATTTTCTCTTTTATCTATGATGTTTTGATCATTAAGATCATTTGATCTTAAAATACAAATACCAATTGCATTTGGCAGGCAAAAATTGTTATCAATATAACCCTTCAAATATATATATATATATATATATATATATATATATACACATACTATATATACACACACACATATAAAAACCTTCAAGTTCCATATTCGTCTGCTTAAGGATTTCAGATCTTTCCCTAAAACCATTATACTATTTGCAGCTAGGACTTCATGTGCCTCTATATACTTTGATCTCTATTATTAAATTTTAGCTCCCTGAATGCAGGCTCTGAGTCTTATGTAGCATTGATGTGTTAAACCCCACACAATACTGAGATTCACAAAATAAGTGAAGTTTATTTCATCTGAAATATCTGAAAGGAAAACCAGTGAATAAATCCCACATCTCAAATCGTGGTCCCCTAGCTCTTTGAATCTGCACTGGCCACCCTGGGCGCCTGCCTCCCAGAAACTCTCTGCTGCCCATACCTGTGTGACATCCCTTCTCCGGTCAAAGACTCCACTCTTCTGGCCACAGGAGTCGGCACAGGAACCCAGCTTGGCTCATCCAAAGGGCCTTCTGGACCTTAGAAGAAACGAATTCTGGGAGAAAGGAGCCCTTTTCCTTTATGATCTTGGAATAGTTTGGCTCCAAGCCTTGGAGCTGTCAAGCGCTTCTTCTCCAGCTTCCCAAAGAAAGCGGTCTTCCTAGTCAACACACTGAAAGCAGAGGGAAGGAAGTGAGAGGCCAGGTGAGCCCACACCCCTAAACCTTGTGGCACCTTAACTCTTCTCAAGATTAGATTATAAGAGCGCGTAAATTCCCTTGACTTACTTTCACTAGCTCTTGAAAGGCTTCCATCACTAGAAGCCAGAGTTCTAACTAGAGCAGACATAGATTTGTATTACTATAATGATTCTTGGAATTTATGGAGTCCAAAATCCTCACATTAAGTGTTAGGAAGATGGATTAGTTAGAGAGGTTAAGTACCTTGCCTGATCACAATGAATTTGTAAGGACTTTGGAAACTGTGGCATTCTCCAGGTTGGATCACTCACTCACTCTCACACCAACATTCCCCAGTACCACAGCTAGGGTGCAGGGAGGCAGCCTAAGTTCTTGGCAAGCAGAGGCATCAAGCCAGGATTTGGATGAGAAATGAGCATGTTCAGAGTTTGTCTCTTTGGGGGAGCATGGTGGTATGGCCAAGCAATTCCTCTGACACAACAAAGGTAGACTCTCTGGTATATAGTATCCTGCCTGCCTGGTACAATCCTAGCTCCCTAGAACCACTGTTTTTCTTTTTAATTGAAGTACAGTTGACATATCATATTAAATTAGTTTCAAGCATACAACAGTGATTCAACAATTCCATACATTATGAAATACCATGATCAGCGAATTTGAATATTATTGACTATATTCCTTCCCTATGCTGTACTTTTCATCCCTGTAACTTCTTTATTTTATAACTGGTAAATTTGTACCTCTTAATCTCCTTTGCCCATGTCACTCATCCCTCCCTTCCCCTTTGGCAACTACCAATTTGTTCTCTATATTTATAAGTTTGTTTCTCTCTTTTGTTGTTGTTTATTTGGTCATTTGTTTGTTTTTTAAGATTCCACATATAAGTGAAGTTATATGGTATATGTCATGGCCTGGCCCATTTCACTTAGCATAATACCATCTAGCCCCACCATGTTGTCACAAATGGCAAGATTCCATTCTTTTTAAGGCTGAGTAATATTCTATTGTGTATATTTACTGCCTCTTTTTCAACCATTCATCAATCACTTGGAACCATTGTCTTTTGATTGATTGTTCTGTTTTCTTTGTCTGTTTCTGACCGAGTGAGATCCAAAACTAGTTCTATGGCTCTCCCAAGATTCTGGGAGCTACTAAGAACCTTCAGTAAATCTCTTTCTGCTCCAATGAGCTAGAATTCCGTGAAACCAAGAACCTTGACCTAAACAAAATTTGGTACTCGGACATGCAGTGCTGCAATCCCACATGTGGAACCGGATTGCTGAAGATGGACTTTGAGCCGAGAAGGCACAGATACTGAAAGCAGAAAGCCAGGAACTCTTCATATGCATGATATAAAATGTTGTCAAAACGTCCCATAGTGTACCTCGGAAAGTACACTACACTATGTGCTACTTTCCATTGGAGGAGTAAAAAAAAAAAAATGACATAGAAGGAAGACACTTAATAGCAGTCCCCAGTATTCTTAAACTCCTTCCCAAATTTAGTACCATTCTGACATGGGTTTTGGCTGCCCCAGAAACTACAAAAAAAAAAAAACAAACCAGTGTGTTAAACACAGGGGATTTTATTTTTCTCACACTTGAAGATTAAATAACACTGAAGAGAGAGTCAGTCCATGCAGTTTATACATTCAAAATCAGAATCCCAAATCATCAATAAAAAAGTAAAATGATGAGTAGAGGCTAAGAAGAGAGGGAGGATGTCCCATACCATAGAAATATCTCATTGAGATCACATAGTATTTTGCTCATATCTATTGCTTTGCAGCTTAAACCGTCCTCCCACCTCTTTTTTCTCCCCATCCCCTTCCCTTTTTGTCCCTTTCTCCCTCTGTCGTTCTTTTAAAACCTATGACCCTATGGCTATTTGGGCAGGCAGTATTCATTATTCTCCTCGGAGAAGAGAAGAGACTGGCTTTGGAAAGTTGTGTAAGGTTTTCAACATTAAAAATCATGTGGCAAGACTCAGTATTAATCGGAAGTTGGAGCAGATCTAGGTTTCCTGAGGCCTGAAGTTACTACAATTTGCAGAAACTTTGTTAAGAAGAATCATAAACATTAAAAATACAAAATCAGATAGGAAAGTGAATGAGAAAAAAAATTGCAACCAATTATAAATTCTATGAAGTTGACAAACCCACAAATATCACAGAATCCAGAAAAACAGCGTAACATTTTAATTAATAAACTGCCCAGCAGCCTTCTCCAATATGCTACCTCTCTAGGCTGCATATTCTGCTCATCTCTTCAAATGCAAATAATTCTTAAAACATACTTTTCTATAGAGAAAGTAAGATTTTTCAGTCAGTTCACAGCACAGCAGGTTGAAATGTATTCTTTGTCATGGACAGTTTTTAAAAATGCTTTTAGCTTCACCACTCCTTTATTGCATGTAAGCTTAAGTTGGGGAAGAAGTTTCTGCCATTCATGAGCCCTAAGATTTCAGGGCATTTCAGTTTTCTTGTGCAAGTTAATCTTAAATACTTTACGACAACCTTCCTTCAGTTGATGATTCACTGTAGCAGGGTAAGTTTTATGTTATTTTGTGGATTTGTGCAAGATTAACAAAATCAATTTGTGCAAGATTAACAAGATTAACTCGTGCAAGTTAATCTTAAATATTTTATGACAACCTTCCTTCAGTTGATGATTCACTGTAGCAGGGTAAGTTTTAGGCTATTTTGTGGATTTCAGTATTTGCTATCAAGTCATCAAGAAGTTAAATCTTTCTCCAATGTGTTCATATAATTTATTACTCTTCATTAATTGGATTCAATTTATCCTTTTTATTTAAAATTTATCTCTCCTAATGAATTACTGCTTTTGATGTGGTCTGAAGATTTGTTACAATTTCCTTCTTGATAGAAAAATATCTGTTGATCTCATGTAGAAATATACAAAAAACGGTTTTACCTTGGGATGTTATTATAATATAATTTAATATGCTTCATTGTCGACTATAGTCCTGACAGGGGAGAACTTCTAGTTTTGACTGGATGCCAAGGAGAACTGAAACGCCTGCTTACATGCCTAATGAATTTTGTGTTTAATAAATTGTTACACACCTAATGATAGAACAAATTTTCCACATATGGATTGGCTTTTGAGTGCACATTTTTCAATTTTTTTAAAGATTTTACTTATTTATTTGACACAGTAAAAGAAGGAACATAAGCAGGGGGAGTAGGAGAGGGAGACACTGAGCAGGGAGCCCTACATGGGGCTCGATCCCAAGATCCTAGGATCATGACCTGAGCCAAAGGCAAACGCTTAACTGACTAAGTCACCCAGGCTCCCCTGGCTGCACATCTTTTAAAAATGTTTCTTCTCCCACTGCCCATAGACTTCTGGTCTTGGGACTAAAGATTGTTCATATGGCATCCAAACTTCCGGGCCCGTCTTCAATATCATGAAATTAGGTGAGCTGGTGTGGTTGAGGTAGACATACTCCTGTAGCGGCCCAGCCAAGAAGGCTGACAATAACACACAGAACAGCCTAGGAGGCACATAAGTACATCTGGAAAATGTTGGCAAAAGAGTAGTTAAGATAGAAAGAGATAATAGTCTTGCAAACAAAATATCTTACTCCTATCAAATTTACAAAAATATCTGACTGTGTGAGCCCAATAGCAGTGCCTTGGAAGGGGCTCAGATAAGTGAGGGGCCCTAGAGGTGAAGCTTCATTAGCGTTATGGTGAATACGCCTCTGCTATTTCCATAACGTGTTTCTCGTTTTAATTTATATCCACTTTTATTGAACTAGAACAGACACATAACATTGTGTAAGTTTAAGGTGAGTAATATGATGATTTCATGTTTGTATATATTGTGAAGCATTTGCCACAATAAGGTTAGTTAGCACATGGTTGACCTCACATAATTACCATTTTGTTGTTATGGTGAGAAAATTAAAGCTCTACTTTCATAGCAACTTTGGGGTACACAATGCAGTATTGTTAGCTATTGTCACCATGCTATACATTGGCTCCCTGGAACTTATTCACACCGTAACTGAAAGTTTGTAGCCTTTGACCAACATCTCCCCATTTCCCCTGCACTTCAGCCCCTGACAATCATCATTCTATTCTGTTTCTGGGAGTTCAATGTTTTTAGATTTCACATATAAGTCTTTGTCTTTCTCAATCTGAATTACTTCACTTAGTATAATGCCCTCAAGGTCCATTCATGGTGTTTCAAGTGGCAGGATTTCCTTCTTTTTATGGAGGAATAATACTTCATTGTGTAGATATACCACATTTTCTTTATCCATTCATCTGCCGATGGGCACTTAGATTGTTTCTATGTCAAGGCTATTGTAGATAATGCTGCAATGAACATGGTGGGGAGTATAGATATCTCTTTGAGAGAGGGATCTTATTTTGGAATATATCCCTATAAGTGGGATTGCTGGATCAGGGGTAGTTCTGGTTTTAATTTTTGAGGAGCATCCACACTACTTCCTAGAATGGCTGCACCAATTTACATTCCCACCAACATTGCACATTGTTTCTCTGTATCATTTGTTATTTGCTATCTTCTGTCATTTTGATAATATCCATTCTAACAAGTATGAGGTAATATCTCACTGTGGTTTTGATTTGCATTTCCTGATGTTAGTGATGTTGAGCACTTTTTCATAGATTTATCAGCTATTTATGTGTCATCTTTGGGAAAATGTCTATTCAAGTCCTCTGCCCATTTTTTCCATTGGATTGTTTGGGTTTTCTTTTCTATTGAGTTGTAGGAAGTTTCTTATATATTTGGATTAGTATCCCCTCATCAGAGAGATGGCTTGCAAATATCTTCCCCCATTCCATAGGCTGCCTTCTCATTTTGTTGATCATTTCTTTGCTGTGCAGAAATTTTTTAGCTTAATGTAGTCCCACTTATTGATTTTGGCTTTGTTTTAATTTTAAGATGTAAGTCTTGCATAGTCAAAATTCAATTCTCCTTCCATTTTTAAATGTTGGTAGAGAAAGAGCAAAGAAGTGGAAATAGAACAGAACTTTTCCCCATGACATGAACATTTCTAGAAAATTCTACTTTTCTTCCTGGGACCCAAAGGAGGGTTCTTACTTTCTCTCCTTTTACCCACTTCTCTTAGGCTCAATTTCTCACTGTGTGAAATGCAGGAATTCAAAGACTTCCAAATGTTATGTCCCAATGAATGAATGAGCTCACTGAGTTATCAGAACTGAAGCCTTGAGAGGCCTGGTGCTGTGATCATGGCAGGTCCGAATCATTTGTGAGGGGAAAGCAAAAGCAATGTAGGAAAGAAATCCTGTGTGTCTGGGAGGTGGCACAGCACAGCCCACCCTGAGACCTGTTTAGAGGGCACTAAGAAAGAAGACACTATTCTGGGAAAATGGGATCCTAATATAGGGGTAATGGAACACAGGATTGGGGTGATGACATGGGCAGAGTAAACCCAAAATAAACTTTACCAGGTTGCTTTGTTTGGGACTATTCTCTAAATCCATCATTTGCCATACACATAATGGGCAAACATATATAGCCATACTTAATGTCGAGATATTTTAAAATTTTTGATAAACTTGAAATAAATATTATGAAAAAGAGTATATAAACCACAAATGTTTAAAGGTATCCAAATCCTGAAAGGCAAAAGGGCTATAAACACGGCATGACCCTGGGCATACACTGCCAAGTTCAGAAGGGCCAACTAATGAATATTATGATTGATGAACTGATGACAGTGATAAGAAAGTAAGGGATTCTTACAGCTATAACTGTAAAAATATGCTTACTTACCCATTCTAGTCCCTGCTTGTGCAATATCTCCTGAAAATATTTCCACTACTGCCCTCTGTTTATGATGTACTGAAAGTCAAAGGACTACTTCTCAAGGACCCTATTAACAAAGTGTAGAAATTAATAAATGCATACCTCAAAATATGACACAAGCCTGTATCTGCATACCATGAAAGAAGATATTTTCCTGGATCATGTAATTATCTCTGATTTGTATGATCACTATAAAGAATTTATTATTACAGGTTTTCCCAATTATACCATGCATGGTAACAAAAATAAACACCTCATAAAGTGATAACACTCTTAGTCATTCATAAATTAATAATAATAAATTTTATCTGAGGAATACAACTCAACACATGGTATTAATAGCTTAAAAGAATCACTAAAATTGTCTTTGTAAAATCCTTTTTTTTTCCCATTTTCCCTCTTTTATTTGACTTATGTCTACAATTTTCTTCATATGACAGATGATTTTATTTTTATTTTTTTTTTAAAGATTTTATTTTTATTTATTGGACAGAGAGAGAGATCACAAGTAGGCAGAGAAGAGGCAGGCAGAGAGAGAGAGGAGGAAGCAGGCTCCCCGCTGATCAGAGAGCCCGATGCGGGGCTCGATCCCAGCACCCTGGGATCATGACCTGAGCCGAAGGCAGAGGCTTAACCCACTGAGCCACCCAGGCGCCCCTGACAGATGATTTTAAATGATATGTATATCATGGCGATAGATCAATTTCTCTTAAAGAATATCCACATCATATATGATCTATAGCTATTGGATAGTTTATTATAGAATGATAATTTATCCTAGTTTGAAACAGAATTCAAGTACAGAAATACGTAATTAACAATGTTAATTGTTAGAACTGTTACAATGTTAAGGATTTAGCAACCACCTTCTTTGAAAGGTGTGGTCATTTGGAAGGTCACTAGAAAGGGTGAAAGTTTAAGGTCTAGTTCTGCCTGTTTTTCTAAAGACCTGCTTGTCCTTCATTAAGTCAGTTCATTTCCTCATAACTTAATTTTCCTTTTTAGTAAAAGGCAGATCCTATCAGCTTCTGAACTGCTTCACAGAGCTACTATGATGAAACAATATGGCATCAGATGTGAAACATTTTAAGGACAAATACAAGACATAATTATTTTAATGACCAATAATTAAACTACTTTTCCCATTATGTTTACTGTCAATTTCTCAGTCTAAAGCCAACTTAATGCATCTATTTGATAATCTAATTATGTGACTAAATTGAGCTTCATGGAAACACCATGAAAAATAGACACAGGTACTGTTTTCTTTTTTTTTTTTTTTTTTAATAAACATATAATGTATTTTTATCCCCAGGGGTACAGGACTGTGAATCGCCAGGTTTACACATTTCGTACAACTCATCATAGCACATACCCTCCCCAATGTCCATATCCCCACCACCCTCTCCCGTCCCCCCTCCCCCCAGCAACCCTCAGTCTCTTTTTTGAGATTGAGTCCTTTATGGTTTGTCTCCCTTCCAATCCCATCTTCTTTCATTTTTTCTTTTCCTACCCCCAACCCCCCCACATTGCATCGCCACTTCCTCATATCAGGGAGATCATATGATAATTGTCTTTCTCCAATTGACTTATTTCGCTAAGCATAATACCCTCTAGTTCCATCCACGTCATCGCAAATGGCAAGATTTTCATTTCTTTTGATGGCTGCATAGTATTCCATTGTATATATACACCACATCTTCTTTATCCATTCATCTGTTGATGGACATCTAGGTTCTTTCCATAGTTTGGCTATTGTGGACATTGCTGCTATAAACATTTGGGTGCACGTGCCCCTTCGGAGCACCACGTTTGTATCTTTAGGATATATACCCAGGAGTGCAATCGCTGGGTCATAGGGTAGCTCTATTTTCAGTTTTTTGAGGAAACTCCACACTGTTTTCCAGAGTGGTTGCACCAGCTTGCATTCCTACCAACAGTGTAGGAGGGTTCCCCTCTCTCCACATCCTCGCCAGCATCTGTCATTTCTTGATTTGTTAATTTTAGCCATTCTGACTGGTGTGAGGTGGTATCTCATTGTGGTTTTGATTTGTATTTCCCTGATGCCGAGTGATGTGAAGCATTACAGATAATGTTTTCAAGCATCCTTTAATACAAACACCTTACAAACCACACACTAAAAGTTGGCTTTCAGATGGTAGCTCCACTTGTGGTGAGCATAGATAGCATCATGTATAGAGGAGTTGAGTCACTCTGTTGTACTCTGGAAACTAATGTAACCTTATATGTCAACTATACTCAAATTAAAAAAAAATTAACAAAAATGAATTTTAAAAAGTTTTAAAGTTGGCTTTCACAATAACCTTTCAGTTTAGGTTCTATATTCACTAATTCTAATTCAGTGAATTAAATACAGCAATTAAACCCTAGCCACTTATAGAGTACATATTTCTCTGTAGAGTGAAATTTCTACACTTTGACACCTGCTTCCTGTTTCAGGGTTTTATCAAGCATCTAAAATTTCTCATATAATTCTAAATAACCCCTAACTTTAAATCCTCCCCTTACCACACATTAGTCTACAAAATAAAACACAAGAGTTCTTGGAGTTTGGGGTCGGGGTAGGGGGCTTTATAAAATGAAATGAATAACAGACTGCAAAAATTCTGAAACCAAGAATTCTCTAAAAAGTTTGTCAAATTAAAATATTTGGCCAATATCTTGTTGAGCTATTTTATATAGAAGAGAAAATTCCTAAATAGAAAAGAGTGTCAATAGATTATGACACAGAAAACTGAGCTACTTTATTTTAACATATCTGGGATTATAAGTAATAATATTGTTTACTCTTTTAAAAATTTAATACATTATCTGTTTTTATGTTATTCGAACTGAAATAATTCAGTTACAAAGGTTGTGGATCATTCTCAATGATTCTACACTAAAACGAAACTCTTGCTCTTAGAGGTTAAAAGTTCAGGAGCTAGAACTGGGCTGTAGGGAGTTCAGAATCTGGCCCTGCCCCTCATTGGCTGTGTGCCTGAAGACAAATTATTCCACCTCTCTGTGTCTCAGTTTCCTCACTTACAAAATAGAAATACTAATAGATCTACCTAAAAGGGTTGTGATGAGGGCTGAATGAAAACCCAAGCAGAGCACTTGGAACAGAGCCTGGTACACACTTCCTACATTGCCATTGTTTCCCAAACACGTTCCCATCTTTTATTAATGCTTATTAAGTGAAAGCAATTACTATGTACCAAAATATCTACAAATAATCCAGAATAGTAATATGGTCAAACCTTTGTGAGTGTGACTGTCAGAGGTAAAATGTCCTAAGAAATTATTCAAAGGATTAAACTTGTAAATAGAAAATATATATAAGGCACACCTATGAGAGTGTTGCTGGGACTAAATATATGGATAGGGAAAGAAAGTACCTAGATAAGGTCAAATTAATCATCCAGAATTTAATGAGATCTTGATCATACTTCATTTTGTTTAATGTGGCCATTCACATTTTAAAAAATAATCTCAAAATGCCTTGAATTAAATTAAATAAATGAAATTGATTTTTAATGTGTGGTTGTAATAGATTTTGACATACTTTATATGTTGATTTTTATTTACTTATTCACTTATTCATTCCTTTTTAAATTTTTTTTATTTATTTTTAAAATTTCTTTTCAGTGTTCCAGAATTCATTGTTTATGCGCCATACCCAGTGCTCCATGCAATACGTGCCCTCCGTAATACCCACCACCAGGCTCACACAATCTCCCAGCCGCTCCCCTCCAAACCCCTCAGTTTGTTTCTCAGAGTTCACAGACTCTCATGGTTCGTCTCCCCCTCTGATTTCTCCCAAATCACTTCTCCTCTCCATCTCCCAATGTCCTCTGTGTTATTCCTTATGCTCCACAAATAAGTGAAACCATATAATTGACTGTCTCTGCTTGACTTATTTCACACAGCATAATCTCTTCCAGTCCCATCCATGTTGATACAAAAGTTGGGTATTCATCCTTTCTGATGGAGGCATAATACTCCATGGTGTATATGGACCACATCTTCCTTATCCATTCGTCCATTGAAGGGCATCTTGGTTCTTTCCACAGTTTGGCGACTGTGGCCATTGCTGCTATGAACAGTGGGATACAGATGGCCCTTCTTTTCACTACATCTGTATCTTTGGGATAAATACCCAGTAGTGCAATTGCAGGATCATAGGGTAACTCTATTTTTAATTTCTTAAGGAATCTCCACACTGCTCTCCAAAGTGGCTGCACCAACTTGCATTCCCACCAACAGTGTAAAAGGGTTCCCCTTTCTCCACATCCTCTCCAACAAATGTTGTTTACTGTCTTGTTGATTTTGGCCATTCTAACTGGTGTAAGGTGGTATCTCAGTGTGGTTCTGATTTGAATCTCCCTGATGGCTAGTGATGATGAACATTTTTTCATGTGTCTGTTAGCCATTTGTATGCCTTCTTTGGAGAAGTGTCTGTTCATGTCTTCTGCCCATTTTTTGACGTGATTATCTGTTTTGTGTGTGTTGAGTTTGAGGAGTACTTTACAGATCTTGGACATCAGCCCTTGGTCTCTCGTGACATTTGTGAATATCTTCTCCCATTCCATGTGTTGCCTCTTTGTTTTGTTGACATTTCCTTTGTTGTGCAGAAGGTTTTTATCTTGATGACGTCCCAAAAGTTCATTTCTGCTTTTGTTTCCTTTGCCTTTGGATACGTGTCTTGAAAGAAGTTGCTGTGGCCGATGTCAAAGAGGTTACTGCCTATGTTCTCCTCTAGGATTCTGATGGATTCCTGTCTTACGTTGAGGTCTTTTATCCATTTCGAGTTTATCTTTGTGTATGGCATAAGAGAATGGTCGAGTTTCATTCTTCTACATATCGCTGTCCAATTTTCCCAGCACCATTTATTGAAGAGACTGTCTTTTTTCCACTGTATATTCTTTACTGCTTTGTCGAAGATTATTTGACCATAGAGTTGAGGGTCCATATCTGGGCTCTCTACTCTGTTCCACTGGTCTATGTGTCTGTTTTTATGCCAGTACCATGCTGTCTTGGTGATCACAGCTTTGTAGTAAAGCTTGAAATCAGGCAATGTGATGCCCCCAGTTTTGTTTTTCTTTTTCAACATTTCCTTAGCAATTCGGGGTCTCTTATGGTTCCATACAAATTTTAGGATTGTTTGCTCCAGCTCTTTGAAAAATGCTGGCGGAATTTTGATTGGAATGGCATTGGAAGTATAGATTGCTCTAGGCAGTATAGACATTTTAACAATATTTATTCTTCCAATCCATGAGCATGAAATGGTGTTCCATCTTTTTGTTTCTTTTTAAATTTCTTTCATGAGTGTTCTGTAGTTCCTTGAATACAGATCCTTTACCTCTTTGGTTAGGTACATTCCCAGGTATCTTATGGTTCTTGGTGCTATAGTAAATGGAAGCGATTCTCTAACTTCCCTTTCTATATTTTCACTGTTAGTATATAAGAAAGCAAATGATTTCTGTACATTGATTTTGTATCCTGCCACATTACTGAATTGCTGTATAAGTTCTAGTAGTTTGGGGGTGGAGTTTTTTGGGTTTTCCATACAAAGTATCATGTCATCTGTGAAGAGAGAGAGTTTGACTTCTTCATTGCCAATTTGAATACCTTTCTCTTTGTCGTCTGATTGCTGTTGCTAGGACTTCTAATACTATGTTGAACAAGAGTGGCAAGAGTGGGCATCCTTGTCATGTTCCTGATCTCAAAGGGAAGGCTGTCAGCTTTTCCCCATTGAGGATGATATTCTCTGTGGGTTTTTCATAGATAGATTTTATGAAGTTGAGGAATGTTCCCTCTACCCCTATATTTTGAATTGTTTTAATCAGGAACGGATGATGTATCTTGTCAAATGCTTTTTCTGCATCAATTGAGAGGACCATGTGGTTCCTCTCTCTTCTCTTATTGATTTGTTCTATCACATTGATCGATTTTGCGAATGTTGAACCAGACCACAATGCTATGAAACTGAAGTCAACCACAAGAAAAAGTTTGGAAGGAATTCAAACACCTGGAAGCTAAAGACCACCTTGCTTAAGAATGTTTGGATCAACCAGAAAATCAAAGAAGAACTTAAACAATTCATGGAAACCAATGAGAATGAAGACACTTCGTTACAAAACCTATGGGATACGGCAAAGGTGGTCCTAAGGGGGAAATACATAGCCATCCAAGTCTCCCTCAAAAAAACTGAAAAAGCCAGAATACACCAGCTCTCTTTATACCTTAAAGAACTGGAGAATCAACAACTAATTAAGCCAACCCCACATACAAGAAGGGAAATAATCAAGATTAGAGCAAAGATCAATGAGATAGAAATCAGGGACACAGTAGAACACATCAACAAAACTAGAAGCTGGTTTTTGAAAGAATCAATAAGATCGATAAACCATTGGCCAAACTAATCCAAAAGAAAAGAGAAAGGACCCAAATTAATAAAATTATGAATGAAAAGGGAGAGATCACGACTAATACCGAGGAAATAGAAACAATCATCAGAAATTATTATCAACAGTTATATGCCAGTAAGTTAAGCAATCTACACAAAATGGATGCATTCCTGGAAACCTATAAACTTCCAAAATGAATCAGGAAGAAACTGACAGCCTGAATAGACCAATATGTAGTAACGAGATTGAGGCAGTGATCAAAAACCTCCCAACAAACAAGAGCCCAGGAACTGATGGATTCCCTGGGGAATTCTACCAAACTTTCAAAGAAGAAATAATACCTATTCTCCTGAAGCTGTTTCAAAAAACAGAAACAGAAGGAAAACTTCCAGACTCTTTTTATGAAGCCAGCATTACCCTGATCCCCAAACCAGGCAAAGACTCCACCAAAAAGGAGAATTTCAGACCAGTATCCCTGATGAATATGGATGCCAAGATTCTCAACAAGATCCTAGCTAATAGGATCCAACAGTACGTTAAAAAGATTATCCACCATTACGAGGTGGGACTTACCCAAGGGATGCATAGGTGGTTCAACATTTATTCATTTATTTATTTATTACTTTTCATATAGTATCCAATCCCCACTAGAGCCCAATGTAGGACTTGAACTCATGACCCTTAGATCAAAATCTGAGCTGAAATCAAGACTCATATGCTTAAGGGTGCCTGGGTGGCTCAGTTAAGCGTCTCCTTCAGGTTAGGTCCAAATCCCAGCGTCCTGGGATCAAGTCTAGCGTCAAGCTCCCTGCTCAGCAGGGGAGTCAGCTTCTCCCTCTCCCTCCCCTGCTTATGCTCTCTCTCTCTCAAATAAATAAATATAATCTTTTAAAAAAAGAGTCAAATGCTTAACTGACTGAGCCACCCAGGCACCCCTGTGTTGATTTTTTAGCAAAAATAACTAAATCTCTGATCCCTTTTCTAGGAAATAACTAGAAATTTTCCAGCAAGAATGGACAAAATATTATTTCTGTTTTTACTGCTAAAGAACAATATATGTTAAGTAGTTAAAAGTTAGAAATGTAAATACCCATAGCCCTCTAAAAACATTTTAAGAAAACCATATGTGTGATACCCAAGAGCCTAAGCATAACATAAATATTAAAGGTGGAACAAGAAAGGAAAGGAATGGAATTGTGGCGAGTTTTGCCACAGGCATACAGAAAATTCAAATTAAATAAAAAGCATGTTATAGAACTATTGACTATTTCTTTTAAATACACACTATCAAATAGTAGTAACCCAAAATTTATAACCCATTACAACTTAGCTAGATGGGTCTTTATAATAAATACTTTCATACGTAAGTGATTAAGAATATTCCAACCAATTCTTTAACATTGGAATAAGAAATCTTATATTTTACTTATTCTATTTACATTTGTTTCAGCTTGTGTTTCATATGTTTCTTCAAATTCTAAAATTTGAAGGTGAACCTCACTATAATCTTCCAAACTAGCATCTTCAAATATGAGTTCTACAGCAAAGGATATGATTTTTAAAAAAGTGAATGTGATAAAGAGGTACAAATTTACAGTTATGTTCACAGAGATGAAAGTACAACATAGGGAATGCAGTCCATAATGTTGAAATAATGTTGTACAGTGACCACATTTATGGTGGTGAGCACTGAGTAATGTCTAGAATCGCTGAATCACTATGTTGTACACCTGAAGCTAATATAACACTGTATGTCAGCTATACTTCAGCAATTAAAAGTCTATAAATAAATAAACACAGTGAAAACAAGCATCATCACCAGATTCCAGCCAAATACTGTTTGGCTGGAATGATCTAGGCCTGCTGCTTGCTGGCTATCTCCATGACAAAAAAGGGAGGTTGGCAAGTGTTCAAGGACCAAATGAATTTTTTTTTTTCCTCCTAAAATCCAAATCATTAAAAGAGAAGGAAAAGAAAAAAAATATTCATGAATTTACAGTAGATCAATTCCAACATTCCCTTTGTTGTTGTTCTCGATCACAGTCACCTGTTTCAAATGTCAACCACAGCTACAGCTAAAGGGCTAGGGCAAGGCTAGCAAGTCATCCTGAATATAGCTTTAGCTTCAAACCACAACATTTGATTTGTTACAGCTTCAATGCCCCTATTTTCTAAACAGTCTAAAATTGAAGATTTCCACTTTGATACAATAATTACACGTATATGCAAGTACTTTTTACATTTCTTAGATACTAGAGTTTTGGGGGTTCTGTTGTCTCTGAAAGTTTTGTTATTAATTCAGTATATTATAGAAGGTCAAAGAATGTGGTCTATAAAATGTCTAGTTTCTGACACAGATTAAGGTGGCTTTGAGGATGCTTCGGAACAGGATGCATACTAGTCTCATGAGTGAGAATGTTCTGTCTGTAGCTATTAATTCAACTTTTATATTATCCCAATATTCTATGTTCTTTTAATTGTTTATATAAGGGGCACCTGGCTGGCTCAGATAATTAAGCATCTGCCTTTAGCTCAGGTCATGATCCCGGGGTCCTGGAATCTAATCCCGCATCAGGCTCCCTGCTCAGCGGGGAGCCTACTTCACCCTCTCCCTTTGCAGCTTCTCCTGCTTGGGCTTGTGTGCTCTCTCTGTCAAACAAATAAATAAAATCTTCAAAAAAAATGTAGAACTTCCCCCAAAACTAAACTACTAATAGTCTACTGTTGACTGAAAGCCTTACCAATAACATATACAGCCAATTAACATATATTGTATGTTACATGTCTAATATATTCTCAAAATAAAGATAAATATTATTAAGAAAATTATAAGAAATAGAACATCTGCTTACAGTATTGTACTGTATTCATCAAAAAAGAATCCATGTATAAGTGAACAAGGGCAGTTTAAACAGTGTTCAAAGGTCAACTGTAAAAGGAATAAAGAGGCCTTTTGCTCCTTGAATCCACACTGCTCCACATTCAATTCCTAAAAATTGAGAAGAAAAACAGGATCAATTGTTTTAATACAAAACCTGCTCATTACTTTTAATAAAAAAGCTGTTTTTTAAAGTGGACTAAAAAGTTAAAGAAAGGCGAATATTAGAAATTCCTTTAAAATGAGTAATAGCTTATTTTAACTTGTTATTCATTTACACCACATCACCAACAAAATCACCATAGGCTTCTGAGAACATCCTTGTGAAATGGAAAGATCTTTATTTGCCTCACCAAGTTCCAGGAAAGATGGGCTAATTACAGTTTAATACCATTCATATTCTGATGTTATAAATGCAGTTGTGTGCTATTTTATACATATCTATGTCCATTAAGTATAATCTCTCTCTGAACTAAACAACATCTAAAACACTACTCTGGCTGAAGAAATTGTGTTCTGAGAATAAAGTGGGTGTTAATAAGAACTGATCTAGGCAAGGAGATGCAGATCAGTGGATAAATAACATACATGTTTGCATTATTTGGTAAATGTAATAGATGTATAGTTTTTTTGCAAATAACGGAATTTTCAAGAGAAGTAAAATCTTGGTTACTATCTTCATGTCACTGAGAGCGCTCTGAAAGTTTCATACTAACCTATTTAACAATATTATGCAACAAATACAAAGAAACTCTTTAAATTCTCAAAACAAAGATTCTAGAAATATGACAGTGTTATCACACTTTTATCTTTAGCATTTATTTGACCAAACGAATCATCTTGTGTCTGGGAGCATGGACTTATTACAAGAGAAAGGAATCGGAAGTCTGGAAGACCCAGATTTAATTCCCCAGTTTAGCTGTGTCTTTTCAGGCAAGTTACTCAACCTCTCTGTCTCCCTTCCCTCTTGTGCAACCTGAGTAAAATAACTACTTGGGGAAGAGAGTTGCAAAGATTACACCTCTGAAGAGCCTACCTCATACACTAGGAGTAGTAAACCCTAGTTGGGGCTCCATTAATTTCCCTCCTCTTTTCCCAAATGACCATTCAAAAACCATGTGCATTTCGAACTGAATTTCTAGCTGCACACCATTCAAAGTGAAAAACATTATAGCTGATTCGTGTTCTAAAATCTGAAATGGGTCTTTAAAAGCTCCTCATATCTAAATGATCTGAAGCAATATTATTTCAATAAGTTCAATAAAGTTCTCTTAAAATTTGTTATATTTTATGACCTAATTAGCTATGTCTTTAAATATATATACAAGTGCTGGTTTAAAATCAAGATGCTGGTCAAACAGAAATGTAACTGAACCCCTTAATTCAGGCATATAATGTAACAAAACAGCCTGCAGTACAATAAAGTCAGCAAAGTAAACACTGGAAGGAGATAGTCAGCCTTGTTGTCTCTGTTAAACATGTCAAAGTGCTACATCTGAAAATATGTGAAAAATCTGCCTATTTTCCATCTGTTATATTTCTCAGAGGATGACTGAAAGTTCATGTGAAAGTTCACTGTAAGTTCAAATATGTCATATGAGGTCATTTGCAGGGTAAAGGTTCACTGGGAGTTTATTATTATTTTTTTAAAGACTGAAGGGGAAAAAGAATAAATAGACTAATTAAAGCTATTTTATATTGCATTATGACCACTGCGTTTTTAAGCATCATTAATAGAAAGTATAAATTTTAAAAGGCCATATGCGTGCTCAATGGCAATAACAATAATTATAAGGAAAGTGCCTAAGATAGTACCCTTGGGATTCTTCTTAGAGAAGAGTCTGTAGATCAGTTTTTGTTGTTCTACATACCACTTTAAGTACAACAGTTGCTATATTTTACATTGTATTGAATAATTTGTTTAAACCGCATATTTAAAAATAGTTCACAGGGGTGCCTGGGTAGCTCAGTCAGTTAACCATCTGCCTTTGGCTCAGGTCACGATCCTAGGGTCCTGGGATGGAGTCCCACATCCAGCTCTCTGTGCAGCGGGAAGCCTGCTTCTCCCTCTTCCTCTGCTTCTCCCTCTCTCTCTGCTGTTCCCACTTGTGCTTGCTCTCTCTCAAATAAATAAATAAATAAATAAAATTACAAATAGTACACAGAGACAGAAAAAAGAAACATCAAAATAATAAAGAAATATAGTCTTACTGTAACTGAATAGGTATGATTTTTAATTTGTAATTGCTTAAGAATGCTGTTTGAGGTATACCATTTGTGGGCTGCTTATAGCATAAGCAGGAAGCCAAGAAAAATATGTCATTTGGAACAAAATGACTAAGTCATTGAAAAAAAATCTAAATCGAATGGACATTAGTCAATTTTATCTGAATTGCTGAAGCAAAAATTAAGATTTGCTTTTGGATAAAATCTTCGTATTTTAAAAATGCTTAGAAGAATATAATTTTCACAGAAAGCACAGTGAACATATGTATGTATGTTCAAATATATACAAAATTTAGGACATAACTTCTGGGTTCACCAATTAAAAAAATTTTCTTTCTCTAACATACTGAAGCATACTAAAGTTCAACAAAGGATTCCAAATATATTGAGTAACGGTGCATTCCACTCTTTCCTGTCAAATGCATGTCCTCAGCTTCACAATATAACTTGCAGTCTGCACTTTGCTCCTTAAAATGAAAAGCATATTTGTTTCTCTCCGGCATGTGCATATTCTCTTCAGGATATATTGTCAACTGGTTTTAATGGACCACAGCTTTTATTCACAGTATTAAAACATATACATGTTAGACATATAAATGTATCTAATGAAATTAACTTTTTTAGCTGTTAAAGAAGGAAAGGTAGGGCACCTGGGTGGCTCGGTTGGTTAAGCGTCTGCGTTGGGCTCAGGTCATGATCCCAGGGTTCCGGGATAGATCCCAGCATCCGGCTCCCTGCTCAGTGAGGAATTTGCCTCTCCCTCTACTCCTCCCTCCAACACTCACGTCTCTGTGTGTGTGTGTGCGCACACGTGCGTGCACAGATACTCTCTTTCTCTCTCTCTCTCAAATAAATAAAATCTTAAAAAAAAAAAAAAAAGAAAGGAAAGAAATTCTGAGTAAGATGGAGAGAGGAGAAAATGGTTGAGAAATGACTATAGTCGGGGGAGTAGGGCAGATCAGTGTCTTCCTTGACCATTTTCGCTTTTTATCTGACACTCTCTAATCACAGCTTTCCATCTTAGAAGTTATTTTCTTCCTCCCAGTATCTCTGGATTAGAGGGGTAAGAATCTGAACACTCTCTCCACTATTCTCAACTTTCATCTCACCTTCCTGAGATTCCCTGATTGTCCTGTGGCGGTTCTCCGCCCACTCCAAGCCACCTCATCCTTTCCCAAGACCTCAACTATCACCTCTCTCAGACTGTCAAGGAAAACTTTATGTCTTTCCCTCACATACCCCCAAGCTGTTTTCAACTGCTGATATGTTCCATGCACACAAAAAACTAAATGAAATGCTACTTCTACCTCTGTTACTACCATTATTACTATTATTACTAACACTAGCATCACTGCTACTGCTGCCTCACTGCTATTAATACTACCATTGTTACTGTGTCTCCTGAGTACCATTCACTTATGTGTTTACTGTGTGTCGGGCACTGGATTCAGCCCTTACCAACAGCAACCTAGTTATAGTAATCTTTACAACAACCAATAATACCTACCTATACCTATAAAATAAGGGTATTATTGCCCTTATTTTATAATCAAGGAACTCAACAAGACTTAGGACTACATTACTGTAACAGAGAGGTGCAACACATGTTCAAATAAAATCAGAGCATGCTTCTACTCTTGTGTTAACACAATTTATCTTTCACTCGTCTCCAAATAGCTGATGAACATTGAAGTGTAAAAGAATAAGATAATGAACATTTTATTGAAAAATTACTGTATTTTTTCGTACTGTTCTAAGTGCTTTATTCACTCCCCTTCTGTAATAACCCCATTTTCCTTAATCTACAGATGAGTGAAACTGAAGAACATAGAGGTTGAATAACTTGTCTCATCTCACAGAGCTGGTAAGTGGTAGAACCAGGATTCCAGGCAATGTCTCGAGAGTTTATGCTTTTTAATTGCTATTCTGGGCTAAGAGATATATCCAATAAATTTGTACAAATGCGAAGATCCATGCCCTCCAAGAGTTTACTCTCTGGTTGAACAGATAAGAGCAAGATGATAAAATCTAGGAGGTCGGATTTCTGGCATATTAACTATCTGTTTTATAGTTGCAAAGCTGTTACACTGGAAACAAGAGGCAAGGAAACAAACTACAAGACTTTATAATTCACATAGTCTTCAGAATCCAGAGAAGATTCTATAAGAATCCTCAGAATCTACAGAAGAAAACTTGCAAATATGGATGAACACAAAATGAAGCAAATTAAGGATATTATGGAGTGAAAACTGACCTTGTTGGTTATTGCTGAGATAAGGGAAACATGGAAGAGAACCAAGATCACCTGAGTCTATGTCAGTGGGAGACTGACCACATCACCATCAAAAATACACAAGTCTTAAATAGAGGCTGATGAATTTTGAGGTAAGAATAAAATTACAGATAAAAACAAATCTATGTGGATAAGTCATCTGCTCTCAAGTAAGGGCAACCACTGTAAAAGCAGATGGTCATTCTGAGAGAAAATACAGAGGTATAAGAGCAAAAGGCTGAGGATGTATTTCCCATTGGTGCTACAACCCTCATGTACTTATTGCTTCTTACTCAGCTGGTACCATATGACAGACAAGGAGGAGAAGGAAAAGTTAGAAACAAGAATATGTAGTACCTGCCTGGCTCTGGAAAAGGATCAGAAAAAGAATGGGAAACAAGGCTGGAAAGACCACTGTCTAATTTGAGACGGGTCTAGAATCTCATCTAGACAAAGGCCTATGTTCTGTAAGCTTCATACTGGTGAGCTGGCTCGTGCTGTAGGAGCTTCTTGGAGTTGAGACCAAGAACCTTCTCTCAACAGAGCCCCGGATGGAATGTGGTCCTGGTATTCCAAGGTTCCACTACATTTAGTATATTTAGTTCTTAAAGAGAAAGACTCTATTTCTATTGTAGGTACTACTGCATTTTCCTAGGACTGTACCTAGCAAAGTACCAAAATCTGTGACTTGCTCAGATTTTGCAATAGAAATGTATTGTCTCAGTTCTAGAGGCTAGAAGTTTGAAATCAAGGTGTAGACAAGCAGGGCCATGTTGTCTTTGAGCTCAGGGGGAGAATCTTTCCTTTCCTTTTGTAACTTCTGGTATTTTGCCAGCAATCTTTGGTGTTCCTTGGTTTGTAGATGCAATCCTGTCTTCATGTGCTATTCTGTGTGTCTTTATGTTGTCTTCCCTCTGTGCATGTCTTTCTCTCTGTCCAAATTTCTACCCTTTTTTATAGGAACACCAATCCTATTGGATTAGGCCCACCCTCATGATATCATTTTAACTTAATTATCTCTGTAGAGACCCTATCTCAAAATAAGGTAACACTCTAAGGTCCTCGGGGTTAAGAATTTGAACCTATCTTTGGGGGACACAACTCAACTCATAACAGGTACAAAGTTTAGCTTAATAATAACTCAGAGACCATGAAAATAGGAATATCAAATATTGTACATTTTCTTATGGAAGTACAATTTTTAAGGTGCCATAAAGAATTCTCCTGAAACTTAGCTCTGGATGCTAATAAGATAATGATGGCAAGGACATAAATTTTGTGTCTCATAATATAAAAACAGTACATAATGCAAATAAAGAAACAATATAAATTTTAAAAAGAACAATAATGAAGTACAGTTCAATAAACACATAATAAAATTTCTAAAACATAGCTACTATATGCTATGCTATATAAACTTTCCTACCAGTCTGGCATCAAGTGTTAATCTATGAATTTTTCATCACTACTCTGAGCACCACATTCAGTGAGGCGGCCTGTAAAAAAACCAAAAATGACAATTACTATGGTAAGCAAAATTTTCAATACCCACCCAAATATAAAATCAAACTTTATTTTTCAGAAGTATTGTCATAAAAGGGGGGGGGAAACTTGATGATTTTACATGGGTGCCATTTTGGTTTTGTTTGTTTCAATAAAGTAAGCCAATGATGCAGAAAGGCTAGCTTGGAATAACAGAAAAAAAAAAAAAATATGGGTCTAAGAATCATGGGAGGGGCGCTTCAATGTCTCAGTCGGTTAAGCTCTGCTTTTGGCTCAGGTCATGATTTCAGGGTCCTGGGGTAGAGTCCCTTGCTCAGCAGGAAGCCGGCTTCTCCCTTTCCCTCCACTGCTCCCCCGGCTTGTGCGCTTGCGCACACTCTCTCTCTCTCTCTCTCTCTCTCTGTCAAATAAATAAATATATAAATAAAATCTTTAAGAATCACAGGAATGTAGGCCAAATGATAAACTTTGAGCAAAATGGGGTTAATGCATTATACAGTGTGGTTGTGAGAAATGACTGAGATAAAAATATGTGTAAAAGCACCATGAAAATTGCAAAGTGCTTCAAAAGGTAGGTTATTATCAGATGTGAAGTGTGACATGAAGTTGTCATTACGTTATTTATAGAATAGGAGAGAAAATTTGTAAAGTATGACTATCCTATTTGATAAGTTAGTGGACTAAAAGTTATCAATAAATCTATTAACTAAAACTCACTCTTCAAGAATCTAGAAGATCTGAAGCTCTTTATAGAGTTAAGAGCTGTAATCAGCATGGGATTATAAAATACTTTGAGTTTTAGGTGTTTAGCTTGTGTGAATCCAGCTTGTGTGAATACTTAACTCACACTGTAACTTTGGGCAAGTTATGTAACCCTTTGTATATCAATTTCCTCATCTCTCAAATGCAGACAACAACTTCTGCCTAATAAACAAATGGTAGAATTAAAAAAAAAAATTGTGAAGTGCCTATCACATAATAGGCATTCAACAAATGATGGTTACTTTGTTTCATAAAATGTCTTGAATCTTTGTATAAGACATATTTCTTTAGCTTTAAAACTCTGCACTATTAAAGAAATGCAATTGGGATACCTAAGTGGCTCAGTTGGTTAAGTGTCTGCTTTCAGCTCAAATCATGATCCTGACGTCCTGGGATCAAGCCCCACATCAGGCTCCTTGCTCAGCAGACAGCCTGCTTCTCCCTCTGCATGCTGCTTCCCCCTGCTTGTGCTTTTTCTTTCTCTGTGTCAAATAAATAAAATAAAATAAATAAAATGTCTAAAAAAACAAGAAATGCAATTATGTTCCATTTAAAATTTAAGATGACCTACAAGACACATATATCTTAATTTCTGAAAAGCTTAAGTAAATTTTACTATCGTGTAGTTAAAGAGTAAAATTATTACTAGTATTATTATTAGACTTACCTTCCAGACACTAATAAATCAAAGCCATTGATTTTCCAACCAAACTATGAGAGGAAAAAACCTACAAAAATTAATTACTTATTTTATAGTGCATCCATTTATAGGTAGAATCTTCACATAGTATGTGTTTGAGATAAAGTAATTGATCCCCTACTTAATCTAAAGTACAATTCAAGATCACTGCATAGATTCAAATACAAAATTATACAAAGAAAAAAACAAAAACCTCTCTTAAAAACTTGGAAGCAGAAATTCTGCTTTGGACAAGATGGAATAACCTGGACCCAATTTACACTACAACATGAAACAACAACAACAAAAAAAACAAAACAAAAAAGCAGACAAAAAATATGAAACAACAGTGTTCAAGACACTAGACATCAGGCAATGAAGAATAGTGCTCCCTATGAAATGTAAAACAAATGAGATGAGACTATGACTGAGTTTCCAGGCTACACACACTGCCAGTGGCTGGCAGATTCCGAGTTGAAAGGCTGAGAGTCTAGGGAGACCGAGCTGACTAGAGTTCACAGGGCAGGTAAGCACAGAGGGAAAAATCTGTACAGAGAACTCCAGATCTCTGCATAGGGCCTCTCTTGAGCACTCAGCTGAGAACCAGCCATGCATGAATCTGAAAAGGCTACCTAGTGCGGCAATAGTGATTATTCTCATTAGCAGACTGGAAAAATCACATTCATAGGAAAAATGGGTAGAGTATTCAGAAAGACTTGCCTCAATAGTAGGAAATAATTGGGCCTAGACTAGATGTTGCGCTGGTCCTGTTTAACAAATCTTAAAAGCAAGACCAAAAAGGATTACATGATTTCAAAGTAACTTACCATATTATAAGATAATAAAATTATTTACAGGAGTACAAAAATATCCAGTAACCATCAAGGTAAGTTTAAAATGTCTGACATCCAATCCAAAATTACCAGGCATGCAAAAAATCAGGAGAAGATGATCCACATTGAGAGAAAAATCTGTCCATTAAAATACACCTACATCAGACACAGATGTTAAAATTAGCAAACAAAGACACTGAAACCATTACTATAACTGTATTCCATATGCCAAAAAACACACAAAAAAGATCTCAAGCCCAAACACAAAAATGATCTGAATTTGTACTTCTAAAGAAAACTACAAGCCTGAGATGAATAAAACACAACATAAATAATGCAGAAGAAAAGATTAGTTAACGTTAAGACCTAGCAACAGAAACTACCCAAAAATGTAATAGAAAAAGAATTTTTAAAATGAAGACAGCATCAGTGAGCTTCTGGAAAACTAAGTGACATAATGTATATATAATTGGAGTCCCACTAAAGGGAGAGGGTCATGGAAAGTATTTGAAGAAATAAAGGTTAAAAATATTTTCAAGTGTGACAAGGCTGTAAATTCATACCTGCAAGAAGATCACAAACACCAAGGAGAAGAAACATGAAGAAAAGGCACACTGTAATACAATTACTCAAAACCAATGGCAAAGAGAAAATCTTAAAAGCAGACAAAGGAGATGGGGTGCCTGGGTGGCTTGGGCAGTTAATCATCTGCCTTTGGCTTGGGTCATGATCTCAGAGTCTAGGGATCCAGACCCTCATTGGTCTCCCTGCTCTTTCGGGAGTCTGCTTCCCGCTCTCCCTCTGCCCCCACCCCCACTTATGCTTGCTCTCTCTCTCAAAATAAATAAAACCTTAAAAAAAAAAGGAGCAGACAAGAAAACATGTCATCTGTAAAGATACAACGATAAGGAAAAAAGAAAAATAACCTGTCAACCTAGAATTCTACACTCAGGGAAAAATACCTTTCAAAAACACTGGTGAAATACTTTCCTCAGACATAACAAAAGTGAAAGAATTCACCACCAGCAGACCTGTATTATAACACTCTAAATGTTAAAGAAGTCCCTTGGGCAAGAAAGAAAATTATACCAGTGGGAACACTAATAAACACAAAAGACTAAAGAGTACCAGAAATGTTAACTGCATGGATAATTATACAAGATTTTTTTCTTAACATTTAAAGTACCTCAAAAAGTAATTTATTATTATAATGCCAATAAAATATAAGTAATAAATAACAAAACTAAATAAAAATAGTTATGTATTGTTGCATTTATAATATATATAGAAGTAAAATGTAAAAAAAAAAAGCACAAAAGATAGGGGAGAAATGGAAGCATATGATTATAAATTTCTTATACTATATGGGAAGTAGTATAGTCTCACTTGAAAGTGGACTGCTAAGTTTGTTTTTTGTTTTTTTTTTTAAGATTTTATTTATTTATTTGACAGAGACAGACAGCACAGCAGGGGGCGCTGAAGAGGGAGAGGGAGAAGCAGGTTCCCCGCTGAGCAGGAACCCCCAACATGGGGCCATCCTAGGCCCTGGAATCATGACATGAGCCCAAAAAATCAGGCGCGCAAAAAAACAGGTTAACCAACTGAGCCACCCAGGCACCTCTAGACTGCTAAGTTGAACACGTATAAAAGTGCTGAAGCCACCAATAAGATAAAAAATAAAATAAAAAAAAAAAAGAGTTATAGCTAATAAGCCAACCATTGAGACATTATGGAATCATTAAAAAAAGAAAAACCGGGACGCCTGGGTGGCTCAGTTGGTTAAGCAGCTGCCTTCGGCTCAGGTCATGATCCCAGCGTCCTGGGATCGAGTCCCACATCAGGCTCCTTGCTCGGCGGGGAGCCTGCTTCTCCCTCTGCCTCTGCCTGCCATTCTGTCTGCCTGTGCTCGCTCTCTCTCCCTCTCTCTCTCTGATAAATAAATAAAATCTTTAAAAAAAAAAAAGATTTCAAATAAGGCAGAAAAAGAGAAAAAGGGGAGCAAAGATTTAGATGAGACAAATACGAAACAAATAGCAAGATGACAGGTTTAAAGCTAACTATATCTATAATCATATTAAAGTAAGTGGTCTAAATACCTTAATTAAAAGGCATAGATTGTCAGATTATATTAAAAAAGGAAGACTCAAAAGACAGTCGGCATGGCTACTGTAGCATCAGACAGAAAAGTTTAGAGCAAAAACTACCACCAGGGATAAAAAAGGTCATTTCATAATGATACAGAAGTCATTTCACCAGAAAGGCATAATAATTAATTATGTAAGTGTAACTGTCATCAATAGAAGTCCACACTAGAGGACTAATTATGAAGGAGGGGAGGTAACACCCCCTAGGCGCACTCAGAATGGTTGGGATGGCAAGAAGCAGGAGTAAATAGTAGAATATACTTTATAAAAGTTCCCCGTCCCTAAGATTTTCCTGCTGTGGGGAGAGAAGAAATGGACTACTGAGGATGCCTAATTTATTTATTTATGTTTTAAAGATTTTATTTATTTATTTGACAGAGAGAGAGAGTGCACAAGCAGGGAGAGGGAGAAGCAGGCTCCTCCTCCTTGGAGCAGAATGCTCCATGCAGGGTTCGATCCCAGCACCCTGGGATCATGATCAGAGCCGGAGGCAGATGTTTAACCCACTGAGCCACACAGGCGCCCCGAGGATGCCTAATTTAAAATATAAAAACTAAAATTTCTGTTAGACACAATTTCAGATAATAAACCTAACTCTGCAAGGTGTATTTCACTTTCTGTTTGCACACACAGTAAGACACACACATGTATTTAGAAAATTAGTTTACATTAAAAACCACAAGACAGGATTTTTAAGAACCTAAATATTATATATGTTTATAATATTTATAATAATTTATACATATGTATATGTATATGTGTTTGTGTTCTTTGATTTTGGGTTTTTTAAAAAGAAAATCACCTGTGAAGTTCTGCTGTTATGAAAGAATATATAAATCCTATCTTGTGTTTTTTTTAACGTAACCCAATTTTTCAAATGTCAAACTAAACCTAAATATTTTTCCAGTTATAATTCACCAAAAAAATAAGTCAACATAGAAGAAACAGCTCATTAACATATCTCATTAACACAACACAATTCAATAGAAATGTATTAGTGCCACCCGGTGGCAAACACACAAAATTTGGTATAAGTGAAGAAGCTGTCTTCAAAAATATAAGTAAATAAATAAATAAATAAATAATTCAGTTTAACCTACAAATATTCTTCCAAATCCCTTATTATAATAGTACTTCTCTGAAAGCAATTTTAGTGTCTTTTGTATTTAGGATTCCCAATAACGACCCATGGCAGGTGCTCCATGAATGTTACTCTAATGAGCTAAATGTGCTTATGATTCATTAATACTTAAAGCTAGAAGAATTTATCTTAAAGACATAACCAAAAAACTGAACTAAGTTTTAGATATAAGGATAGCTACTGTAGCTTATTTAACATAATTTAAAGAAGGGGGGCACCTGGGTGGCATAGTCAGTTAAGCAACCAGCTCTTGGTTTTGGTTCAGGTCATGATCTTGGGGTTGTGGGATCAAGCCTGTTGGGCTCTGCACTCAATACAGAGTCTGCTTGGGTCCCTCCCACTCCCTCGCCCTCTTCCCCTCCCCCCTGCTCTCTTACTCTAGCTCTCTCTCAAATAAATAAATTAATCTTTAAAAACTGACATAGCAAAAAATAAATAAATAAAAATAAATAAATAATAAAAACATTGGAACCAACATATATGTTAATTGTAAGTTGGCTTGATCATTTGCACAATATACTAGTATAATATGCTGGCATTGAAAATGATATTGTGAGAAACATTTAATGACATCATTGTTCAAAGTACATTATTTTAAAAAAATCAGGTATTCATAGTATAATCTCATTTTCATTTGTGATATATATGTTAAGGTTTTTATGTTTATAATCCATATCGTGGTGGTTACCATAGAAGGCATGACGAACAATGCTGACCCCACCATCTGAATCTGGTTCGGATGTAGAGATTGATTTTGATGCCCCCCCCACACACACACCAAGAGCATACGAAAAAGTTTATTGCTCACATAATGAGGCTTTCTGGATGAGCAGGAAGGTTCTCAGTCTGGTCCAAAAATGGCTTGAGAGAGTGGGGAAAGGAGACTGGCTTGGATTTTATTGCAATTAAGGGGCAGGGCTGGGATGAGGGTTTCCACATGTGGACTGGAGTGTGTTACATGCATTTGGAACTTCTTGCTGGAGCTAAAGGAGGGAGCAACAGGTCTTTCTTATCAGGGGAGAATGGTCTTTCTCTCTTGTTTTTTTAATACTTAATTATTTGGGGGGGGTATAAGGAGGAGGGGCAGAAGAAGAGAATCTCCTGCAGACTCCCCACTGATCGCAGGGCCTGAGTGAGGCTCAGCCTCACAACCCATGAGATCATGACCCGAGTGCAAACCAAGAGTCACACACCTAAAGGACTGAGCCACCTGGGTGCCCAGAGATTGATCTCTTTAGAACTTACACTGATCATGTCATTTCCTTTCTTTTACCTTTCTTTAGCATTTTTTTTTAATATGTGGTCAGGTAAAGTATAAAATCCTAACCATGACCTTCTGAGTCCTCTGCCCTCTGGCTCCTGTCTACCTCTCCAAGGCTCACCTTTCATCATCCTCCAGCCCTTTCTCTCCATCCCACCATTTGGGACTTCTTGGTTCCTGCATTCCTTCAGGAATATGCCTTCAGGCCCTGGAATACATGCTGTAGTTTCTTCTACTTGGAACCTTTGCTTTTTTCCAGAACACAAATCATATTCACCCTGAATATCTCAACTTTAAATGTCACTTCCTCTGGAGGACCGTTATTGTCCCCTTCAGCACAGGTGAGGGCCCCCAGCTATAAATCTCGGAGGCTCCCTGAACATTCCCTCTCCTAATATTCATCGTATCTCAAGTAACATGTTTGCTGGGGCCTCCCAGACACTGTACCAAGTGTTTCCCCTGCATTCTCTTATTTAACCCTCATAATAACCTATATGGATACAAAGAAAAGAAAAGCAGATGCTCAGAGATCATGTAAAATCCCGAAGTCACAAAAGTAGTAAAAGATAATGATAAATACTGGAAA